AAACTCAATTTTGCTTAGATTTACTTGAAAGTATTGCAAAGTTGATTATTAAAGCAAAATATGAGCAAATAAATACCAGTACAATAAATTGTGCCCCAAAATGTTGTTCACCAGTGTCAAAATTAGGCAAATTTTTCCCTATAAAATTGCTCAAAAAACCTAAGAAAAACATATTTCTACAATTTAACTTTTTAAGAAAATTGTTGTACACTTTCTTTAGGTATTATGGCTCCTTTTCATAGCATGAAAAGTAGGGGTTAATGCACATATAAGAAAGTTTTGATATTTTTTATATCCTCACCCCCTATTTCTTTTTCAGCATTTAATGAAAATAAATCAAGGCATTTAGGCTTCAAAGTATGTGTTTTATTCACCAAATATTCAAAATTTGCGTGATAATTTCAGGTAATAATTGCAATGTTGTTAAGAAAAGCTTTTTATGAACAAAAAGTAATTATTTAACACATGAAACTTCATAACAGATTTTGTTAGATGTCCTCACTTTCTCTTGCCCTGTGGTATTTGGGTTCTGGTTTGTGGTGTTAGATGGTGGCTTCCCTGGGATAAGTCAAATCCAGTCCCACTTTCTCAATCTGATTTTCATGGTTTTCTCCATCCGATTTTAGTGGTTCTAAAAACCTGCTCTCTTCTAAAGTTCTTCATTTGAGATTCTTGTGACAACAAGACTTACCTGAATAGAATTATTTTAGGAAAAAAAATTATAATTACTGGTAATTTCATTGTTCAAAAAATGTAAAATCATTATTTTGTCTATCTAACTTTGTTTTAATGAACCCAAGCCTGTAGTTTAGAATCAAATAATTTCTACATATTCTATAATGTTTCGGAAATATTCCATTTTTTTAACCCGCATTGGCCGCCATAGATTGAAGCGATCTAGTAATTATCGAATGTAAACAGCTAAAAATTATAGATGTTATCTTATTATTTTCGTACGGTAATGGGTATGTCTATATATTTGGGATAGATATTCTGCATTTACAATATCAAACGAAATTTATCATATACTAAAGTTGCAATAAAAAGGATAATACGAATGCTGTCGTCTGCACAAATCTGAAGACCCCTAACGTTCCGTACATGTATGCAGAATCTAACATGTTTATGCTATGTTTCAGTTTGCGATGTGACAGTATACTAGGTATTTTGAAACTTTTATATCTATAATGCATAAACATTGCTATTTCAATAAGTTTGAAAGCATTGGATACCTACATTTTCGCTTTCCACTTCTTCTGGAACGTCGTCAACACACTTCGGCGCTCTTGGCTGACATGTTTGGGGCGTCGCTTTCGAGAATGTACATGGCCTGATTGTGATATCGGCGATTTTTTAAATGTTTTCAAATTTCTGTCGGTTGGCTCTTTTAACGGAGTGCCACTGGGCATTCCTGTCGCTCTGAAACGGGAGATCCCGTCTTCTTCCCCTCTCGATCATGTCGATTTCACTTGTCGACTTTCTTAGGCCTATGTCGTAAATATCGTAATTATGCGGACGTCTTGGTCATCAATACAACATAGAAAGATTTTTTTATTTAAAAATAAATATAGTTAAACATGTAAATCATAAAAACTTGTTTGTAAATTGTTGTCAGTTTGAATTTTACGACATGTTTAAGTACGAAGACCCACTTGTGGTGAAATGATCAGCAGAATTCATCCTTAATATTATATCACCTTTTGAGCAATACTTATTCATTTATGTATTGAGGTTTTAATTCATTCTTTTATCCACTTATCAGAATATTTTTCCTAATTCTTTTTGTAGTCTTAGGGAATTTGTTGATTAAAGAACACACAAAGCAATCATTCTAACATTTTTCTTGATAGTGAAACAAAAATATCTGCATCTTAATTATTGTTTTTTATCTTTTCTGATTGACAGTATCTATGTGGATATTTTGGAGACCAGGGCTGCATTCAAGATCGTAGAGCTAGCAGCTATTTCTTAGACATCTGTCGCACTGAACGGACGGCTTACTAAGCCACTTAGTGTCAGATTTCTTTTCATAAAAAACATATCTAGATCTGTTTAAACTTTTTTGGAACAAAATTTGCTTATTTCACGCAAAGATAAATAATGTAAATTTACATGTACATTATAGCCCGATAAACTGTAGAAAATAGTACATTTTTTTAAATCGAATGCTTTGTGAAGTACACTTAACTTCGGGAGCCATTTTCGATTTGTTAATCAGCATCAAATATTTATGCTAGCTTACCCTACGTCCTGGATAGGGTAGCTGATCATTCAAGATTATGGCTTAAAGTTTCGGTTATGTACCAGCTACGCTATTGGATGCAATAAAGGTCTTCCAACATTCTATTGGAATTCCCATAAATAATTGTACCAACCGCGCACCGTCATAACCGTTAACTTGCTGTGGCCTTAAACTCAACATTCAGATATATCGACGACATATTGTCAATTAATACTAGTAATGGTTATTTCAATTTTAAAATCAAAAAGATATTTTAACGGAAAGAGACGTTATTGGTAATCTAACAACTGTGCTTTATGATTAACGTGATGACTTGAACTTTTTAATTGTCAACATCCCTTGTTTATGCAGCAATTTACCTTCATCACCTGTACACGGGGTTTATATCTCAGATGATTTGATACATGTAAGAAAATGCCCTACGTTCAAACAATTTGTAAAACGATTTCAGTAATTAACAAACAAGTTGATGGAACAAGAATATCAGCAGTCTCGTGTTAACTCATGATTTTCTTAGTTCTATGGTCGATACAATGGCCTTGTTAGCGAAAACATCATATAATTTTGCTAAAAGTTGACTGACGTTTTTCATACTGATTGTTAGGCCAATGTTTACATGCTAAATTGACGACATATTTTTCGTTGTTTCTTGATGATGACGAGGAGCACACAGTTAGTTTGACCAGTCAGCAGGGGACGATAACCCCACCATGGCACCTTATCCAATTTCTGATATTTCGGAGGTCCGAGATTGCTCTGCTTCAAATTTGTATTGTTTGAAGGTTTTATTGCACTTGGATACTGTTCATAATTTCCATATACATGCATACAAAAAAGAGAAAAGCAGGTGAAATTTTTAAGGTGAAAAGATTTTATTATTCCATTTGTATTTTCAAGTTCTCCCATCTTACGTTTAAAATAATGTTTAATCGCATTTAATTATGCCTCATAATTAAAAAAAAATGAAATTTCTCTTCATCATCTTCAATGTCTCCTCGCCTATCGGTCACATCCTTTATTTTCCCTTACATGGAGTTCATCAGTGTGTTTATCCTTTGAAAAAGGATATCATTCAGTCCTTTCAACAAGGCAGACCTTAGTTCAAAGAGACCAACTTTGGAATTTCGAACCTTATCGTCTACTCTGTCCAACAGATACTCAATATGAAAAAGATGGACTTTTCGTTTACCAGTCAAGTGTGTAAATGTTATTGTTCGTCAGAAAGTCTTGACAAACCAAGGCTACATTGGATTGAGGGTAAACACACAGAAAAACTTGGGTAAAAGGAAGCATTCCGATGTTTCTGTTGAGAGTTGAAAAAAAAAAAAACTGCATTTCAATACTTGATAATTGATCTTTTATGTTTGGCAACATTTATGTGGTTTTTGGAGACTAGGTCATCCAATAATCTGTTGAAATTCCCTTGGATACCAATTTCACCATGTTATTAGCAGACCTATTGTCTATTTATATGAAGCAAAATATATCCATAATCTTATAAAAGAATAGATGTAAACATTTGATGTGGACTTTTATTTGACATTTAGATATATATCAATGACGTATTGTCAATTATGGTTATTTCACTTCTAATGTCAATACGATATATCACGATGAGCTTGAAAAAGAAGAAACTACAGAGTCTCAAACATCTTTTTAATATTTGGATAATTTACTTGAAATTTACTAGAAAAAGTGAAATAGAATAATGGAAATCTAACATCAAATCTATATGATAAACATGGTGTCTTAATCTTCAATCATCAGCTATCCTTATCTATACAGTAAAGTACATTCAGCACTTGCATACAGGGTTTATATATCAGTTGATTCTATACACAGAGGATGCTCTACGTATTTCTTGAACGAGTTAAGTTATTCAAGCTGTTCAGAAACAATTCGATGAAACAAGAATATTTGAAGTATCGTTTAGAGTCATCATTTATTAAGTTCTGTGGTAGATAGAATGACCGTGTGTGCAAATACAATTTATCATCCATTAAGTCGGATCCTGTCCGATGCTTTTCATACTTATTGTTAGGTCTTTTTTTCACACACTGTACTGGCGACGGATTTTTCCGTTATTTTCTGATCATGACACGGAGCACATGGCGGATGTGACTAGTCAGCAGGGGATACTCACTCCTCGACCTGGCACCTGATTCCACGGCTGATAATTTTGGAGCTTTAATACTGTTCGTAATTTCCGTCTATCGAATTTACGAATTATACGCAAATGAAAAAAAAAACAACAAAGGGCATTAATGAAGAATTAGTTGTTTCCAAATTATGCATGTACTTACAAAATGTACATCTATATATGATGGTATGTATGATAAGTGTTTTTCATATTTATGTACTATTTTGATTATTGTATGTTTCATGTAATAGCAACATCTAATGACGAAATAAATGAGATGACTTTACCCATACGGTTTCCATACTCAACTTTTCTTATTTATTTCGTACTCTTCCTTTGTCACGTGCATAATACTGTTTACGTATCATAACGATTCAACACTTAAAACCATGTTCCAAGTACAAGCACGTGGGTGCGTTAGACAATCTAACTGCTGATTTAAATTTTATGCTTTATTTTTCAATACCCATTTAAAAAATATATGGTCGTATAATGATGACCTTGCCAGAAAATATCACCTACTCTAGGGACACGTTATGGCCCCTCTGTTTATACAGTTTGGATACAAAATATATGTATTCAGTCAGAAATAAACTCCAAATGAAAAAAAAAATCCCAATAATTTTATCTTTTAATCTTTGAGAAACTTGAAAAAACATTTTTTCTGGAATGCAGGGAACTCTTTTCAGCTGTATCGAGTTCTGAGTTGGATATTTTGTCAATCTAAACAAACAAAAAAAGAATAATTAAAATAAGTGTATTTCCGCTGAAATGAGAAGATATGCAAAAAATAACAAAGCGTAAAAGAAGTTAAAACAATAGATTAATGCAACATTAAATTGATGATTATATGTACCTGTTCTTGGTCATGCAAGTAATAGTCAAAGAATTAAGCAACCAGATATTCACATATTTAAAAAGGAAAAGAAAACTTACATCTGAGGGTTAAATACTTTTGAAATTAAAAAAAAGTCTTGAATCAAGTAATGAAACATCGTCGGAAACCCACGGCTGATTACGCTTCGTTCCTCTTTCCATCACATAATTATTAAAAAGCAGTGTGCATTAACAATTTTAAATCAAATTCTTGAAATAAATGAAATAAATCAACAATTAACACGTCTCTTTGAATCATTTTACCTTTTAAAATTATAATGCACAAGTGCCCCCATTTTTTTAATTTGCTGCCAAATGAATGGAAATCGCGATTCTTAATTATTGGTATCCTTTTCAAATTAAAAAAAAATCTTACTTTCAGTTTTTTTGAAATGTTAACATAAACATTTCATATTTTAAAAAATGTAGATTTTCGTGATATATAACCGAATATCGAGAAAAAATAAGATATTATAAGATATTTTTGCTCACTCTGGAGACTCGATGTGCAGGGACACCATCGCCAAAAACGCCACCACCACCATCGGTAACTACAGAGACACCATTGTACAGGGATCGTAGAATTGGTAGAAGTGATATTGGTAGCAGAAGTGGTGGTGGTGGTAGTTTCTGCTTCCACTAGACCATAAAGGACCAACAGGAGAACCAAGAACAATGCAAATCTCATCTACACGAAATAATTTGATATATTGGTTCGTAAATGAACTGTCATGTACATAATATATCTTTTTGGTAGAAATTGACATTAAGTTAAATAGTTTGTAAAAAGCTTACCTTATCGTATATTGCAGGTGTTGGCAATGGAGTTAATGTCAGTCAGCATATACTTTGTCTATTTTATACATTTTAATCATGAATCATACAGCATCCGGGAGGTGTAGTAAAATATCATTTGTATTACGCATGCTTTATTTGAACAAGACATTATATGCAAATTGAAACCAATTGAATGTAAATTTTAGAGATTTTTTTCCGAAAGTAAAATACAAATGTACAAGTGTGCGCATTATAAACATTGTTTCAATCTATTCAATGTTTTTTTTTTTCGAAAAGCTCGTGGGGGTATTTATTTATGGAAAAAATAGCTTACCTTTAACAATCTCAAAATTTAGCATAAATTTTAGCTTTTGAATATAAATAAAATCAAATCAAAAACAAAATTACCTATCATTGATAATGATTATTAGTAAGCTTGAAATCTAATGCACGCTGTTTTCTTTTTTTATTATTATTAGAAAGACACCATTCATCTTTTTACGGAATATTGTTTAGTCAATATTTGAGAAGTAAGCTTTTGATAAATACTTGCATCAACCCTCAGATTAGGTATAATAAACAAACTTGATAACAAATTTCTAATGACAAATTGACACCCATTAATGACCCTTCTCAGCCTTGAAATCTTTTTAAAGATAATTTTACATATACGTTTAAAAGTTTTTTTTAAAAAATCTTTTAAACTTTTTATTCAGTCAATATTTTCTCTGCCCAGGTCTGTCAACTACATGTAAGTCTTTCGTGGGAAAATCTATATTGTTATACCAGTTCTTGTTCCTAACAAATCTATATATACTAGAGGTACTGTGAGCGATGAGCTCACTAAATGATACCCCCTGCCTCCATATAGTTATAATGGCAAATTACATGTTTTGCTGTGGCTGTGAAACCCAAAATATGTGTCGGATCAAAAAGTAAAATAGGAGGTGCACAATGGCAATATGTTATAAAGATTCTGTGAAAGTTTCGTCAAATTTCATTCAGTGGTATGAGAGGAGTTGCGGATAAGAGATGGGTACCCCAAAGCTTAACAGACGGACGGACGGACGTACAGACGGATGGAATTAACGATTGCTATATACCCTCCCGCTTTTCAAGTGGAGGGTATAAAAATGTCTAACATTTCTAATGTTTTGCTGAAAGGGCATAAAATTATCGATGTTGGGCCGCTGAGTGAGATGTTGAACCGGTCGGTGAGACGTTGGACCGCTTACGTCAAAGAAAGGGCGGGGTTTAATCTCATTTTTATTCTTTGGTGTTTAACAGTGACGGACCAGATGTTACATCAAGGAAGACAGTACAAATAAATGTATGTCAAAAATAAAATAAAATGAAAGGTTTAACAAAACATTTATTGACTGATTTCGAGGGCAAAATGCGTTTTGTCGGACCCTCGAACCAAACTGTCTGCCTGAGGCCGTTAAATAAATGTATAATGTACTTGAAATGATTGCATAACTCACATTATTTATGCTAAAAACCTTGAAAATGACAATGTTTAATACCTTCTTAAAAATATTTCAAGAAAAAAGATTTCTATTATGCTTGCATGTTAAACTTATATAGACATTGTTAAGGGTAATTGTGTTAAACATTTTGAATTATGATAATTATAATACTATGCTGTATACTTTATATATAATAATATAAGAATGCCAATAGTGTAAAAATATACATGTGCCCGTCCTTTAAATGTTTCTGCAAAAATCCTGTTCTTTCATATTGCCACATACATGATTATACAACTTTACAGTGTGTGTTATTGAACTGGTTTTATAAGAATATTAGATAAAAAAATAGTCAAAGAGCAAGGGATGTTCAGTCCTACATGGCACCTGATTCTTACTGTAATGTTTTCGATGTCCCTGTTTGCTCTGCTCCAATTGTATATTGTTTAATGAATTTTTGAGCTTGAATTCTGTTCCTAATCTGCATTATGTATAATTAAAAAAATACAAAACAAAAAAAAAAAAAAAAACAAAAACAAAAACAAAAACAAAAAAACAAAACAAAAAAAAAAAAAAAAAAAACAACAACAAAAAAAAAACTTTAAAATAAGAAACCAGACAAATTAAATTTTTTTAATATAATGTTAATCATCAAAACAGTTAACACTATAAAGATATTCCAAAGGTTAATAGTATCTTAATGTTAATAAACGGAAAGTTTGGCAGTATTTACAAACTTCAACAAACTTTAAGATGAATTTTTAAAATAACAGCATTAGGTCGAATACCTATTCCATATGCAAACGGTTTGGAAAAAGAGAGTACGGAAAATAAGAATATCTAGAGAGATTTATTAAACCAATGAACACAAACACACGGTAAAATGAAAATCCAATAGAGACAATGAACGTAAGTGACTCATTGCCAAAACTATGATTATGACCTTTGAAGCACATATTGAGGTAACATTGAGTGTTATACATGTGACAATTTTTTAAAACTTGCTTAAAGCTGAACACGACTCGTAAATAGGCATACGCCATTTTCGATATCATTATCTACGATACATCAACACCAGGGTATACTCCTTCAGATTCGTCACACCTGACTGCTTTATTGTCACGGGTATCGGCGTGGAATGGCGACTTGTGTTCGTGCCGGTTATCTTGCATTACCTTTGTTTACATTTTATTGTAGTTACGTATATCTGACAGTGTGTTTGTTTGTATACTGCACTGACCTGTACAACTAAAAAATTTAATGTAAGTTTCCTCGGTATCTTATTTTCCTGCGTTAGACGAAGTATAACGTTATAATTGTCGATACCGAGTGCTGTATAGCATACGTCCGTTTACACCGGTGTCGACTAAATACACTGAACAGCGACAAAGTCCTGTCCTATAGATGTCTGCAGGTATAGCGATTTTCCAAACAAAAGTGGCGGACACATTCCTTTTATGAATCGTGTTCAGCTTTAGTAACCTGAAAAAACATAATGACAAATAGACAACAAAGTCTTCAATTTCAATGAAGTAATTAAGGGAAAAGAGGAAAAAATAAGACTTGATTAAAAGAAGGAAGTTACTGTTCTTTCGCAAAGCGCTTAACTGGCACTAGAAATGAAAAGCAGGGGTTTTCGATTGAGATTATAAAACCGAGGCCCAGAGTAACGATATACTGTGAAGAAATCTCACCGCTGGCTGACCATAAGTATCAAATATATTGTAGGTCTAAATTTTAAGACATTCACTGGTATATGTTAAAGTCTTTATTTGAGTTTAAAATTCTTTAACGCAACGTTTAACTAAACAATCAATCGATCGCTTCAGAGGAAACGCTTTGAGAGAGGAACTTTTTTAGTTCTATCCCTTTTTTGCAAACATTGGAAACCGAACTCACCTTAACACTTAACATATCTGCAAATTGTTAACAACTTCATAAAATCGTTTGCTATCTCGGAGAAGTTTTTTTTTCGCACATATCTGCATCTTTCCCGATGATCCATATTTTGAACTTAAATAAAACCTCTATGTACACAATTCAAAAACTTATTGTTATTAAGTTGATTAAAAACACTCCATCATTATTGATTAGATATAGCCACTTAAAAGGATTTCACATCGGTATGATTGGTATATCTATTTTCTGTAAATATTTCTATGATTAACAATAAAATGATTTTCTCTTCGATTGAATTATTAATTTGTCTCACACAACATATTACTTTGCGTTGAATTTTACCATGACGAGAGTCGACAAGAATATTTCCTATGACATATTTTGCCTAGGAAAAGGGTACATTGGCAATAGAAATGAATGCAATTAAATGATAAGGTAAATCATCATCTCTAATATACAGTACGAAACTGTATTGATTGCTTTTTCAATGTAATCACAAACATTTCTCATATACTTGTAAAGTAGACCCTACACCATTTACAAAGTCTAAATTGTTTTCCAAATGTAAATATACAGACAGTGAGATTTTTCAAGCAACTATCGTCTGAATATTACGCAACCATTAACAAAATTGTGGAAAGAGATTGTTCCAAAATTCATTTGAATTGACCTTATAACCAATAAAACACAACAGAATTTCAATTCAAAATTTTATTTGTTTTTTAAGGAAAATTTTCAGGGATCTGTTTTGTTGGAGCGGCCGGCATCTCGTTTTACATCAATCTCGCAATGCCTCTTCTGTCAAATCCTCAAGCTGTAATCAATCAATTGCAAAGTACATGTATAGCACAAAACCCTGACGCATTAAAGCATTTTCCTTAAAATATTAATATATTGAATATGAAATATTTACCTGGACTTCGTTATCTGGCTGAGGAAATCTTTTGGCCATTTGTTCCTAAAATTTTAGAAAGAAGGATTGTGTTCATCTTTCACTATACATTATGTATTTGGAAGAGGGTATTTGATACATATCATGAAAGAAGTTATATGCTATTTAGAATTATAACACTAGACTTTTAACGTAAGTCTAAATCAACGAGTAACCGTGTCATTAATGAAACTTTTTGCTAGCTATCTAGTGAATGTCTCTTGGAAGAAAACAACACAAAATGTTGGTGACAAAATACATTCTTCTCTGCAACCACACAACCTTTTTCAACCAATTTTGGAATAAAGCATCTTGTAGTGTATGTATGAATGTAAATGCGTGGATAAAAATGACCCACAAAATCAAAGAACTTTCGTCCCCACGAACATGATTCCAAGGTATACAGTGAAAAAAAAAATTAAAATGGGGTATCACGTGGGGAATATAATTATAACATGTACAGTGTACATGTATATTCTTCCGACATGGAAACATACCATATTTCTCTTTTTAAAGCTGTAAGAACACCCACACCCAGCTCCATATTTCCCGCCACATCCACATCTCCAACGTTCTGACATTATATTTGCCTCCCCTTCTTCCAAGGTCAGAAGATGCATGAAGAGCACGAGGCAAAGGAAAATTATAGTCCTCATCCTAAAAATTAAAAGCTGTACCATAGAAAATTGAATGAAAGGATTTTTTTTTTTGAAAAACTTGATTCTTAAAATTTTTTTTTTTATCTTTTTACATGCAATCTTAGAAAAAAAGAATTTAAT